CCGCTGAACCACCAATGCTGCTGATGATTGCAGCAAGACGTGATTTTTTTTTCTCTATACAGATGTGTTTGTAGGAGGGTGTATTTTTGAAGGGATGCCTTTTAAACTGCTAATTTTCTTCTTGTCTTTGTCCTTCACTTCTAAACTTAGGACGTAGGTTACATGCTGGGTTTCAATCAAAAAACCATCAGACTTCTGACTAAATAATGTCAGTCAAAAAAGTCTCAGGTATAAAGCCATCAGAAAAAACTGCTTCGCAGGAAAAAAAAAGTCAAACCAAAATCTTTTTGGAAAAAAGTTCTCAAATCAAAGGCCATCAGGAAAAAATTGTCAATCGAAAAGCTGTCAGGAAAAAATCGTCAAACTAAATGTCATCAGGAAAAAAAGTTGTCAAGCCAAATTTAAAGAAAAAAGTTGTCAAACCAAATGTCATCAGGAAAATAGCAGTGAAACAAAAAACTGTCAGGAAAAAAGTTGTCAAACATATAGTCATCAGGAAAAAAAATTGTCTCACAAAATGTCATCAGGATAATTGCTGCCAAACCAAAAAGCCTTCTGGAAAAGATTTGTCAAACCAAATGTGGTCGGGAAATAAGTTGTCAGACAAAATACTCTTAGATAGAAATGACTTCAGAAACACATGAAACACAATTCAGAAACTGCTGTATTTCTTCTTGTCTTTGTCCTTCACGTCTAAACTTAGGGCGTAGGTTACATGCTGGGTTTCAATCAAAAAACCATCAGACTTCTGACTAAATAATGTTAGTCAAAAAAGTCTCAGGAATAAAGCCATCAGAAAAAACAGCTTCAGGGAAAAAAAAAAAGTCAAATCAAAATCTTTTTTGAAAAAAGTTCTCAAACCAAAGGCCATCAGGAAAAAGTTGTCAATCCAAAAGCTGTCAGGAAAAAATTGTCAAACTAAATGTCATCAGGAAAAAAGTTGTCAAGCCAAATTTAAAGAAAAAAGTTGACAAACCAAAAGTCATCAGGAAAAAATAGTCACACAAAATGTCATCAGAAAAATTGCTGTCAAACCAAAAAGCCTTCTGAAAAAGATTTGTCAAACCAAATGTGGTCAGGAAATAAGTTGTCAGACAAAATACTCTGAGAGAGAAATGACTTAACTAGAGGAATCCAGCAAAGGGTGCCATTGTCACACGATGGTCGACTTGGTATGATGTCCTCAATGTGCAACAGCAGCAGCGTGGGCTTCTGAATGCATCACAGTAACTTTTAATTATTCTGCAATTTCTTGATACATTAGCTACTCTTAATCCTCTGAAGTCAATCCACACACCTGTGTGTATTTGCGAGCTGGTCACATTACTCCCATTGTTATTCAACCAGAAAACCACTTACGGTCTTGATTACAGCTTATTTTGACAAAGGGGGCTTAAAACTAATTAACAGTTGTGATTTTACACATTTATCCAAGTAAAAGTAAGACACTTAAGGTAGATAATTCATGCCAAGATAAAGGTACTTTTGCACGATCTATCTGTGATAGATGCAGAGCAAAATCCTACAAACTGAGTTCTCTGCTGGCTCCGTCGTCTTTCACTGCACTTCACTGTAAGCTAGGACTCAGGAGTCAGGAAGAAAACAAGACCAAGCTTTTCCTATAGGCTGAGATATGAACCACATCACAAAATCACTCATAATTAGTTCACCCAGTCACTCAAAATTAATGGTATTAATTCTTTGTTTCTGGTCAGGATTATGGGGGAAAAGAAAGCTGCTGCATTGGCCGGGAATCGAACCCGGGCCTCCCGCGTGGCAGGCGAGAATTCTACCACTGAACCACCAATGCTGCTGATGATTGCAGCAAGACGTGATTTTTTTTTCTCTATACAGATGTGTTTGTAGGAGGGTGTATTTTTGAAGGGATGCCTTTTAAACTGCTAATTTTCTTCTTGTCTTTGTCCTTCACTTCTAAACTTAGGACGTAGGTTACATGCTGGGTTTCAATCAAAAAACCATCAGACTTCTGACTAAATAATGTCAGTCAAAAAAGTCTCAGGTATAAAGCCATCAGAAAAAACTGCTTCGCAGGAAAAAAAAGTCAAACCAAAATCTTTTTGGAAAAAAGTTCTCAAATCAAAGGCCATCAGGAAAAAATTGTCAATCGAAAAGCTGTCAGGAAAAAATCGTCAAACTAAATGTCATCAGGAAAAAAAGTTGTCAAGCCAAATTTAAAGAAAAAAGTTGTCAAACCAAATGTCATCAGGAAAATAGCAGTGAAACAAAAAACTGTCAGGAAAAAAGTTGTCAAACATATAGTCACCAGGAAAAGAAATTGTCTCACAAAATGTCATCAGGATAATTGCTGCCAAACCAAAAAGCCTTCTGGAAAAGATTTGTCAAACCAAATGTGGTCAGGAAATAAGTTGTCAGACAAAATACTCTGAGATAGAAATGACTTAACTAGAGGAATCCAGCAACGGGTGCCATTGTCACATGATGGCCGACTTGGCATGATGTCCTCAATGTGCAACAGCAGCAGAGTGGGCTTCTGAATGCATCACAGTAACTTTTAATTATTCTGCAATTTCTTGATACATTAGCTACTCTTAATCCTCTGAAGTCAATCCACACGCCGGCGTGTATTTGCGAGCTGGTCACATTACTCCCATTGTTATGCAACCAGAAAACCACTTAGGGTCATGATTACAGCTTGTTTTGACAAAGGGGGCTTAAAACTAATTAACAGTTGTGATTTTACACATTTATCCAAGTAAAAGTAAGACATTTAAGGTAGATAATTCATGCCAAGATAAAGGTACTTTTGCACGATCTATCTGTGATAGATGCAGAGCAAAATCCTACAAACTGAGTTCTCTGCTGGCTCCGTCGTCTCTCACTGCACTTCACTGTAAGCTAGGACTCAGGAGTCAGGAAGAAAACAAGACCAAGCTTTTCCTATAGGCTGAGATATGAACCACATCACAAAAATCACTCATAATTAGTTCACCCAGTCACTCAAAATTAGTTGTATTTATTCTTTGTTTCTGGTGAGGATTATGGGGGAAAAGTAAAGTGCTGCATTGGCCGGGAATCGAACCCGGGCCTCCCGCTGAACCACCAATGCTGCTGATGATTGCAGCAAGACGTGATTTTTTTTTTCTCTATACAGATGTGTTTGTAGGAGGGTGTATTTTTGAAGGGATGCCTTTTAAACTGCTAATTTTCTTCTTGTCTTTGTCCTTCACTTCTAAACTTAAGACGTAGGTTACATGCTGGGTTTCAATCAAAAAACCATCAGACTTCTGACTAAATAATGTCAGTCAAAAAAGTCTCAGGTATAAAGCCATCAGAAAAAACTGCTTCGCAGGAAAAAAAAAGTCAAACCAAAATCTTTTTGGAAAAAAGTTCTCAAACCAAAGGCCATCAGGAAAAAATTGTCAATCGAAAAGCTGTCAGGAAAAAATCGTCAAACTAAATGTCATCAGGAAAAAAAGTTGTCAAGCCAAATTTAAAGAAAAAAGTTGTCAAACCAAATGTCATCAGGAAAATAGCAGTGAAACAAAAAACTGTCAGGAAAAAAGTTGTCAAACATATAGTCATCAGGAAAAAAAATTGTCTCACAAAATGTCATCAGGATAATTGCTGCCAAACCAAAAAGCCTTCTGGAAAAGATTTGTCAAACCAAATGTGGTCGGGAAATAAGTTGTCAGACAAAATACTCTTAGATAGAAATGACTTCAGAAACACATGAAACACAATTCAGAAACTGCTGAATTTCTTCTTGTCTTTGTCCTTCACGTCTAAACTTAGGGCGTAGGTTACATGCTGGGTTTCAATCAAAAAACCATCAGACTTCTGACTAAATAATGTTAGTCAAAAAAGTCTCAGGAATAAAGCCATCAGAAAAAACAGCTTCAGGGAAAAAAAAAAAGTCAAATCAAAATCTTTTTTGAAAAAAGTTCTCAAACCAAAGGCCATCAGGAAAAAGTTGTCAATCCAAAAGCTGTCAGGAAAAAATTGTCAAACTAAATGTCATCAGGAAAAAAGTTGTCAAGCCAAATTTAAAGAAAAAAGTTGACAAACCAAAAGTCATCAGGAAAAAATAGTCACACAAAATGTCATCAGAAAAATTGCTGTCAAACCAAAAAGCCTTCTGAAAAAGATTTGTCAAACCAAATGTGGTCAGGAAATAAGTTGTCAGACAAAATACTCTGAGAGAGAAATGACTTAACTAGAGGAATCCAGCAAAGGGTGCCATTGTCACACGATGGTCGACTTGGTATGATGTCCTCAATGTGCAACAGCAGCAGCGTGGGCTTCTGAATGCATCACAGTAACTTTTAATTATTCTGCAATTTCTTGATACATTAGCTACTCTTAATCCTCTGAAGTCAATCCACACACCTGTGTGTATTTGCGAGCTGGTCACATTACTCCCATTGTTATTCAACCAGAAAACCACTTACGGTCTTGATTACAGCTTATTTTGACAAAGGGGGCTTAAAACTAATTAACAGTTGTGATTTTACACACTTATCCAAGTAAAAGTAAGACACTTAAGGTAGATAATTCATGCCAAGATAAAGGTACTTTTGCACGATCTATCTGTGATAGCTGCAGAGCAAAATCCTACAAACTGAGTTCTCTGCTGGCTCCGTCGTCTTTCACTGCACTTCACTGTAAGCTAGGACTCAGGAGTCAGGAAGAAAACAAGACCAAGCTTTTCCTATAGGCTGAGATATGAACCACATCACAAAATCACTCATAATTAGTTCACCCAGTCACTCAAAATTAATGGTATTAATTCTTTGTTTCTGGTCAGGATTATGGGGGAAAAGAAAGCTGCTGCATTGGCCGGGAATCGAACCCGGGCCTCCCGCGCTGGGACCGAGAATTGTTTAGCTAAACGCCCCTAAACCAAATCTCATTCATTCCCAATGGTAGTCCTAAACCACTACGGATGTAATATATTTTTGACCACTACGCATTGTGGCGCTGTTGCGTTCTTCTCTCTTCTAGGAAGCTGCTGCCTGAAACGGTAGTTCACTTGCTAACCACTTCGGTAGAGACAGGACTGATTAGCAGCGGAGCGGATTAAAAGTATTCTTTAATCTTCGGTTAGACTGTTATAAGGTAAGTTTTGTTGATATGAATGCAGATTACAAGGATTGGAGGTGTTGTTTCCGAACGTACTGCGTTGCTAGGATACGAGTAGCAACGCTATACACGCTAAACGCTAAATTCAAAAGTAAACACTTCAGGATCATAGTTCTACGGTTAAAACTAATGAAAAAATTGCAAAAATATAGAAGATAATTATGGTTTTATATTAACTTCGGTATTATTTTGTTATTTGTAAACAACACAGCAGTGGTTTTTTCAAGTAATGCTTTTTTGTCTTGTAAACTGTAAAATAAATACAAGTAAAAAAATTAATAAATAAAAACTAAACAAAAAATAACATTAATATAGGTATCAGCTTTCCTGGCCCAACTCAGTACTTACAATTCAAAAAATGAATGTTTGATGGCTGAATAAGTATACTTATTTTTTGGACTTTAATTTGTGCCTGACTGCTCTGTGTCACTGAAAGAAATAATAAAATACAAGCTATTTCTTGAACATTCAGCAGTGATTTTGCATCCCTCTGAGTCACTCACACCACAGCCTGGTGCATTAACCCCTGTGTCTATGACCTTCAAAGGCTGCCTGTATCTTCACCTTCTTTTCTCTTTCTACAGTCTCTGATCTTCAGTGTGTGAGGAGGTGGAGCCAGGAATACAGTGAGGCACCGTCCCCAGTGAGATCATCGACTTCTTAGGGTGATTTACATGTGATTACAGCTTGTTCATCAGAAACAACCCACTACCAGCTATTCCAGGTTGTGCTGACAGAGTTCCTCAGGTGAGAAGCAACAATTCTTTAAGAAACTTTATTTAAACCTCCTCAAAGTGATATTGTTTTCTATTTGATTCTATAATACAGACAGCGAGTCACATAACTGGTGTTGTGTTACAAAGATAAGAGGATCAAATGAGCTTTACTACTAAGGAATAGTTTGTCTAGTTTGTTAATCAAACCAATAAATAAAGATATGGGTTTAATAAAGGCAGATAGTCGAGTGAGGTTTGATGACAGTAATAAATATAACCCAGCCTCTCTTCATCTTGTTTGCAGTTGTATCTTTAGAATGTTGTAATGAGAACAGAAGATGCACACGCACACACACACGTACACACACACACACACACACACACACACACACACACACACACACACACACACACACACACACAGTTTTAGTGGGTTCATTATTTGATAGAATTGTTATTGAAGTTAATCAGCTCCAGAACAAAGACATGATTATCAAAACTATGCAAGCAAATCTTAAAATATTTTATAATGTTGTGTCTAATAATTAAATCAAAAATGTCCTTGAACTTTACCAGGCGAAGATGCAGAGGAAAATGGTATTTTATCCAGGAAAGCTGAGCGTGGTTTTCCGTAAGGGGCCCCTTGGATATCTCCTGCAGGCGCCCTCTCCTGAAGCCAAGCGCATCAAGGATGACCCCAGTTTGCAGGACAGGTCTGCGTCCATGAAGGAGGACCTGGTACGGCAAAATGCTTTGGCCACAGTTCGTAGGAGAGGAGGGGATACCACCGACATTACAGAGCTGCTGGGAGACTACATCCTTCAATTTGGAAAATATAAAGGAAAGTCTTTCAGGTGGCTTTTAGAAAATGATGTGGGATACACTCTGTACCTCATTAAGAACCGCCAGAAGGAGGAGGATTTGGGTCTCTGTAGCTCGGCTGAGGATCACAGCAAGGTCAGCCTGCAGACATTTGTTAAGTTTGCTCTCAGTTTTGCAGAGATCAAGTCTGTCCTCGGCTACGAGGCAGGTGTTGTCAAAGCCTCTTCTGAAGATGAGCAGCAGGTTGGCTTTGGCTCCCGGGCCAAAAGCACATGGAAGGAAATCTGGGACAGTAGAGCTGATGGGTATGCGGACTTCATCTTGAAAAAGAGTTGCCTCCCCGGGACACGCATGAAGAAGCTGCAGCAGTACCTGCAGGGCAGACATCAATCTGCCTCAGCTTCTACACCCACTGAACAGGATACAAGTGTGCCACCTGAACCTCTGGGTAAGAAACTTGATTCATGTTCATTTTTGAAATGACAGAAACATGTAATGTTTAACATTTATCCTGAACTGATATCATATTTGTCATTCTGTGTGCTGTAATCTTTGTCCACACTACAGTAATGGACGAGGACAAAGAGTTGGAGAGCGCCATGTTGAACATCTCACCCTCTGACCTGCTGAGCACGAGCAGTCAGTAACACTGTTAATACAGTCAGTTAATTCTTGAGCCTCTCTTGCAGATGTGTATCTCATTTCTAGATGTTTGCTTTTGTGTGTGTAACCAGTTGCTGTAGCTGCAGCAAAAAGAGAAGAGGATGTGTCAAGACTACTTCCACGAGCAAAACCAGGTTTTTAAATGAGAGGTTTCAGGACTGGAGAGCTATTCTCTTGCATGAAGAATTGCCATCCTAAACTGAGCCATGACCTTCTGTGTTCTGCCTTTGCTTTTTGTTATGGCCACGTTCTGGCCAGGTTCCTGTTCCATGTGTCTCTTCCTACTGTTACACTAAAAGTCCTCAGGACTATGAATTGATTCCTGCTGAGAAGATGTGATTCCAGACACAGTGAGTATGTTATTTTTATTTTTTTGCATGTCTTGTACACTAAAAACATTGAAGTGGGGGTTTGCACTATAAGTTGAATGCATGCTTGTGCACTGGGTGCTGTTACTCCTCCTGCTTAGGTTGATTAGTAAAAGGTTGTTTCTGACCTTTCCAGTATTATGTGTAAAGCTGTGGTAAGCAGGAAAAGTAACTGTGTGAGTTTGAGTTCATACTAACACCAACACCTGCACACTCTGTAACTGCTGGAATAACTGCTGCCTTTTCTGTTTTAGTCCCGTCTGCAACGCTGTCCAGACCTCCTCCTGATGCATCAGAGCAACTGGAAACCTCAGCAGTTGATGGTGAGAAGATTCAAGCTCTGTTTCTCAACTGTTTTATTTTAATCAAGGCTACATGAAGACTTTTTTTCTTTACCTTGTTCTGGGACCAGTCCCAACCAGTAAACAAGGGAAGACACCTGCGGCCCTGCCACCAGAGCTCGCCTTCCTGGCAAAGGAAACATCGAGCTTCACCAAGAGCCTGGAGTCATCTAACGGTAGATCTCCACTAATATTGAACTAAACCTCTGTTTATTGCTGATAATTACACAACTACGTCAAATGATTTGATCTGATCCATTATTCCTGAAACAATAACAGAAAGATGGCTCCATTTTTCAGATTCAAACACAAGATCTGCTGGCTCCTCTGCACAGAGAGTGCTGGATTTTGAAGACAGAGGTGAAAAGGGTGAGAGTGGAAATCATCTAGACAGCTTCTTTTTTGACTTGTTTACTTAACTTTAGCTTTATCATTTGTTCCACACATTCTTTAACATTTGTTTTGACTGAAAGGACTCTAAAATCATCTGTCTTTTTGAATATCAGTTTCCTCAGCCCAGCCACCTGCTCCTTCACTCTTGCCTGACCGGGACCTCGATATGAACAGCTGGAGCTGTTCTCAGCACCAGAAACTGTGGATGAGGACAGAACTACAGGATCTCGGACTGTGGCCTGGCTCTCGTCCCGTTCGCATCGTTGGGAACGCAGTTTCCCTCTGGCGTCTTCCTCCACAACCAGAGCTGATCGACACAGTGGCCGACCTCCCATCACCCAACTTCTTTCAGCTGCACCCGTTTTTCATCTGGAAGCCTGAAAGTAACATCATGATCAGACTGAGGAACAATTACATCCTGCCCTGTCTTCATGGGTGTCATCATCCTCAGGTGGTCTCTGCTGGCGTGGGTAGGCCTCGGGTGATTGTTGGCACCGGTGGACAGTATTATATCTTTTCCTCCAGACTTTGTTGCAAGTCCTGTCGGAGAAACTGGTTTGCAGACAGTCCCCGGTGGCTGCAAAAGCTGCCCAGCCACTTCACAAACATTCTGCCTGCATTCCTGACATATAAGAAGGCCATCTGCAAGTCTGTAATGGATGAGCTGAGGCGCACGGGCAAATCACCATCAGACATGGCAAACCAGGTGAATGAACTCATGCATCTCAAATATGAGCGAGCTCACCTGGCATACCTGCAGGCAATCGAGAGCGTTTGGGATGCTGAGGCAGGGGTTCATGGACAGAAGACCATTGGGCAGTTTGTGAGAAAGGACAATGCACCACGTCCTTTTGGCTCCTATGAAGATGCCAGTGGGTGGTGTGGAATTTCTGTTTCCAGCTTCTACCTCACTGACTGTCTGCTGGAAGAGTACAGACGCCAAGAGCCAGTCATGTCCAGGCTCCTTCAAGGATCTTTTGGACAAATCTTCAGGTCTGACCACACCAGAAAAGTTGCACGCAAAGTGACACTTGCATCAGGGACAATGTCTAGCTTTGCGATCATGAACGAAAACTGGTTGATTGTTTCCTGGGTGATGGTTCAGTCTGAGGCTGAGAGGTCCTTGCAGCCGATGTACGAGGGAGTGGCCAGGAGGTACGCTGAAGCTGAAGTGGAGAAGGCAGGCTACCACTGGGTGGACAGGTGAGAGCAGACATCTTCTCTCTTCTTTACCTTTTAGCCTGCTAATGATCATGATTGTGTGTTTGATTATGTCTGTTTTAATGTGCAACCTTAGTGATTAGGAGAAGAAACAAATGGTTGACTAACGAAAACACAATTCTTTAATTTTATTTAAAAAAAATACTTTTCTAATAAATTAGAAAATGTTGGAAGAAATTCATGAAACTGTTATAATACACAGTGATGCAAAAGGAAAAACATTAGGAATAAGTGTTTATTGTTTATCGAGATCATGACCAGCTGTTTGATGACATCATCCTAACAGAACCAGGAAACCTGGTGCTCAGAGACCAAACACAGCAGTCAAAAACATAAGAATGATTCTAATTATTCTGCATCTTTGTGTATCTTCCGATCAGGGATTGCTGTGCTTCTTTCAAGATCCCAGACTCCATCCCTGGTGAACATTTACTCTGGGATGCTTGGAAGACAACCCCTGCCATTGTGAATGCTGCTACCTCTGGACCCCTGGCTAATACTAGTGCCTCTCGATCCCATTACAACCCCAACATTGCCATAAAACTGGACTTGTTTCACTGCCTCAGGCGCTTTTCACGGGAGTGCACGTCTGAGCATCACCCCCTCTACAGCAGTTTCTGCCAGCTTCTCTCTGCTGCCTTCTCTGTGGTGGATCAGGAGGACCTCAAGAAGCTCCGGGACGCCTACGAATTCTGTGGTATCCGGCCAGCCAATCCCACCAAACAACACATACGGGAGCACTGCAGGACCAAGATACCACAGCCCACAGAGCTCCTGGACAGAGTGGAAAAGGTGATCAACCATTTTCATCTGGCCAAGGATCCAAATGATGTCCCTCTGTTTAAACCCTCCATGCTGAAGACGTGGCGCATACAGCGAGTGCATATTCTCCGTGGATGCCTCAGTGACCCTGAAATCTCCGAGAGGATCATGTACAGGTATGGTGGCACTCTTCAGCTTAACCATGTACCTGGAGAAGGAGCAAAGGTCAACATATGGATTCCTGTCAGAGGTACATCACAGCAAGAGGGGTACCATTTCCACCAAGCCCAGTGGATCACTGGAACCCATGCCTCCACTGAACTGTTTCAGGCGCAGGGAATGACAGGAGTGGCAAGATGGAACTACCAACGACTGGTGGACCTTAAGCGACCAGACGTTGTCCTGCCAGCTGTATTTGATCCAGCTTTAATAGCTGAATTAAACAGCTCCTACAAGAGAGTGACTGGACAGGAGAAATATCCCACTCTCAGAGTCTCTGACAGGGACACCGGCGAAAGATTTGGACTTGAGTACATAGAGCCAGGCTGCCGACCGGTCCCTCTTGACTGGGACAAACACAGGACTCAGAAGAGAGGTGAATCATCTGCTCCATTCCTGCTTCCTGTGCATTCATCCATCTCGGCTCAAGTTCCAACTCCAGCGTCAACCTCCAACTTGGGTTCAGCTCCATCTGTCAGCCCTCTACTCTCTGCTGGTGACCTCCTGAAAGAAGATGTCCAGGAATTTCTAGCCACACCAGGTAAGCCACTGAAATGTTTTCTACATATTTGCATTTTATTGTAGACAGTTCACCAATCAGCCGAGTAAGCATGACCGTTTCATTGTGTTTCAGATCTTTCGTGTGCTCCACCTCTGCCTCTGAGAGCCTACCCAAGTAGCGCCCGCGTCGGACCCATAAAAACAGGTGGGCGGGTCTTTGTGTTGGATCACACACGCTGGACACCGCCCATGAAAGAGGCCATTGATGACCTGCTGCAGAAGCACCGTGGGAACAAGGACATGCTGAAGCATGTGGATCAGGAATACGCAGCCATTGTTCATCGAGCTGCTGCTGATCCTAACAGCCTTCTGCATCCTACCACCAGACTGCACATCTCCCGCTACGTGAAGCACCTGGTGAAACTGCTCAACACCTGGTGAAACTGCTCAACACCAGTTCTTCTTTGAACGTAAGCCCAGAGAAACTGAAGGATACACAACAACTGTGGCACTCTTTAACAGAGGGGAGTGAGTCATCCCATGTTCCTGTGGTCACTATTGAGCCAGCTACTTTCAACCCTCCTGCACCTGCTTTGTCCTCACCTCTGACTCAACACTCTCTGGAAAAAATCGTAGAGGGCATTTTGAGCAAACAGCAGAAGCAGGAGCAGCAGCAGCAGCTCCCGCCAGGGCAAAAGAAAAGACAGACAAAGACGTGTCTTTCCTGCGGACAGCCAAAGTCTCGATATGAAACTGATGGATCCTCGATCCACTTTTTCTATCAACGGGGGCCTGTGCGGTATTTTTACTGCTCACAAAAGGTGCACCAGAGCTATGCTGCTGAAGGACTCTCTAACCCTACAATGTCCTTTGAAGACTTTTCAACCACTGACTTTTTTCGGAGAGAACTGGATGCAACCAAGACGCGAGTGCAGGAGAAGACTGAAAAGAAAAGGCAAAGGACAGAATCGGCACCAGCA